TATTTAGCACTGAATTAGCGATTAGTGAACCACTAATGGGTTGACAATCAATGAACTGATATTTTGTTTTGTATTTTAAGCGCAAAAAACTGTAAAATTAATCCCAAATTCAGTGTTGAATGCAATGTAGAGAGAAATGTGTGAATGAATTGCCAGTCAATGCATTGTCAATGTTTTCGCGCAATTCTCGCACCTGTCGTGCCATACATTACGCGCCCATTGAATGTCATTTAAACGATTGGCTTCCGTATGGAAACGTATGGGAAATCCGCCACAAAATTCACGTACAATTTGTGCCGTTATTTGTGGTCACATCCAGCCGTCGATTACATAACTTTGCATTTCATTCAAAAATATGTGTTTTTCGTGACGAGTGTTGCGTTAATTGTCCGTAAATTGGGTTCACTTTTGTTTGTCATTAGATTTAGCGGCCGTTGTGTTGCCCACTAATGTAAGTACCGGTGCTCTCAACACGTGTCTGTAATCATTGTTTTGTGTGTCAATGGTTTCAATAATTTTGAGACTATTTTCAATGCATTTGTCGTCAAATGTCTATACGTTTTGACATTTGATTGAAAATTGGTTTTAGTTTTGTAATTGTGATTAACATTTTGCTAATTAACAGTCCAATGGGTAAACCGGGTAAGTCTACCGGTGCCACCAGGTCCCGGCTGACTGGGACCCCGAGTACCAGTGCCGCGAGTAATGGCAACACGACTACCGGCTTCGACACCAGCCTTTCCCTTGGCTTCAAAAACGGCAATTTAGTGCGGCTTTCGTTACGGGATTTCATGTAATAATGATTTGACAGTAATTGCAATGATATGTCATTTCACTGAATCACTCATTTCGATGGACAGGACCTACAAGAAGGTGGAGATGAAGGCGGGACCCAATCTGAACCTCGTGTTGGGCCCCAACGGCACCGGGAAGTCGGCGCTCGTGTGCGCCGTCATCATCGGTCTGGGAGGCGAGCCCTCCACCACCGGCCGGTCCGGACACTTAGGTCTGTAGTACACGTGTGTCTCGTAATAGGACTCGTGGTTTGAATTGATTTTTGCGGTCATCTTCAGGCGAATACATCCGCTTCGGGTGCAACTCAGCGCTCNATCATCGGTCTGGGAGGCGAGCCCTCCACCACCGGCCGGTCCGGACACTTAGGTCTGTAGTACACGTGTGTCTCGTAATAGGACTCGTGGTTTGAATTGATTTTTGCGGTCATCTTCAGGCGAATACATCCGCTTCGGGTGCAACTCAGCGCTCGTGGAAATCGAGCTCTACAACGACAACGGGACCGCTAAGAACCATCTGATCCAACGGGTGATCCAATCGAAACAGAGCTCTAGCGGTAAGACTGAGTTCACGTCGAGTTTCAAACTGAACGGCAAAGAGGCGAACCGTACGACTGTCCGCGAGTTCACGCGAACTCTGAACATAAATGTCGACAATTTGTGTCAATTCCTGCCTCAGGAACGGGTCGTCGAGTTCGTCAAAATGGACAGAAAGACACTCTTGGAGTGCACTGAGAAGGCGGCCGGCGATGAGCACATGTATGACTCGCACGTGGAGATCGTGAGGCTCACCAAACAGATCAAGAAGTTGAATGACATGAACGCCGACCTCTCGGATCAGATCACCAGTGAAACGGCGCAACAGCAGAGGGCGGAGGAGGAGCTCCGGAGGATTGAAGAGCGCGACAAATATAAGGATGAGATCGAGTGGTTGGCGCGGAAGCGGCCGTGGATTGAGTACGAAGACAAACGCGTGGAATACACGGCCTCTAAAGAGCAGCTGATCGCCAAGAAGGAGGAGATGAGTCGTCTGTCGAAGTGTTTGGAACCGCTGAAGACTGAAGTGAACGCCGCCCGCAAGGCGTTCGAGAAGTGCCAGATCCTCAAGAATAAGGCCATCACTGATATGCGAAAAGTGGCCCAAAAGGTGGAACCGATTAAGAATAAGATCGAGAAGTCGTTCGAAGATATAAAGGACGCAAAGAATGGTTACTTCGAGAAAGAAAAGG